CCCATCTCAAAAATATTCCTTGGTATGGGATCATAGAACTTATAGCCCCTAGAGCGTCCAGAGTACCCAATAAAATAGCTGCTAACTATTTTGGAGTCCAATTTCTTTTCATTTGGCCTATAAGGCCTTGCCTCAGCTGGCCTATAAATACTTTAAACTGGGTTTTCGATCAGTCCAAAGCTCATAAGGTGTTTTATCAACTGCTTTACTTGATACTCTATTCAGAATGTAAGCTGCTGTCTTTAGTGTTTCTCCCCAGAGAGACTCTGGTAAAGAAGAATGAGCAATCATACTTCTTACCATATCCTTAAGAGTCATGTTTCGTCTTTCAGCTATACTATTCATACTAGATGAACCCGGCATGGTGTACTGTGGGACGATACTGCATTCCTCTAGGTATCTAGCAAATGGTCCTGGACGTTGTTCACCTGAACCATCATATCTATCGTAGTACTCACCACCACGATCAGATCTAACGGTTTTAATTCTTCTGTTGAGTTGATTCTCAACTTCAGCTTTATAGGCTTTGAACATGTCCAGAGACTTAGATTTTTTATGAATAAGATATAGGTACCCATAATGTGAGTAATCGTTTATGAATGATATAAAATATTGTTGACCATTCCATGATTCTGTAGAGAATGACCCATAAATATCCGTATGTATCAATTCTAAGACATCTGAAGATCTGTTGGCACCTAATCTCTTAACTTTGGTCTGTTTTCCCTTGATACATTCAATACATATGTCGAAGTCCGAAAAATCAAGGGAATCCAAAATGCCATCAGACACAAGACGCTCAACTCTACCTTTTGAGATATGACTCAAGCGCTTATGCCATAATATCGCCAAATTTTCCTTATTTAATTTACGCTTAGTACCACGTGATTCCACATGCAAGGATTCACTATAAGAAGCAATTGTATCAAGCAAATATAGGTTGTCATAAGTACTCAAGTAACCGGTTCCCACAATATTTGAATTAAAAGATAAACTGAATTAACTGTTTCCAAATGAACAAGAATAACCTGATTTGTCCAATACAGAAACAGAAACCAAATTCCGTCTAAAAGACGGTACTACAAAAGTATCTTTTAAATCCAAATAATAACCAGTTCCTAACAACAACCTAAAGTGCCCAATTGCTTCCACATCTACCGATTGTCCGTCGCCCACAAAGATGTGTCTTTCAACATCACTTGGCTTTCGGTAGCTCAGGCAACCCTGCATAGAAACACTTATGTGAGTAGTAGCACCAGAGTCTAACCACCAAGTGTTTCTAGGTACTGAAGCTAAATTAACCTCAGAACAGACCAAAGCAAGGAACGTACCCTTATTATCACGCCAGGCGTGATATTTTGTACAGTCCTTCTTTACATGTCCAGGCTTCTTACAGAAGAAACAACCCTGATTATCCTTATGTTGTTTCTTCTCAACTGGACCCTTAGCAGCTTCCTTATCATTCTTCCTTTTCTTGCCCTTATCCTTAGAGGCATAGGCCAAATGAGCACTTTCTGTCTTATCTTGCTTCAACCTGTCTTCTTCTTGCACACAGTATGAAATGAGCTCATTTAGAGTCCATTTCTCCTTTTGACAGTTATAACTGACCTTAAATTGGTTAAACTGTGCAGGAAGAGACAACAAAACCAGATGCACTAATAACTCGTCACAAAGATCGAGTTTAAGTGCCTTAAGCTTTGAAGCAATATGAGACATTTCCATAATGTACTCCCTGATATTTCCTTTGCCCTTATACTTCATTGAAATCAAGCGAGCTAAAAGCGTGCTTGTTTCTACCTTATCGTTTTTCGCAAAACGCTTCTCAATTTCGGCAAGGAAATCTTTAGCCTTAGTAATCCCTTCGGATTCTATGCCTCTAAAGGCTTCCAGAACGCCGCGCTTAATGATCATAAGACTCATGCGATTTGAACGCTCCCACTTCTCATACTCCTTCTTTGCATCAGGAGTGCTATCCGCATTTAGAGGTTGGGGTTGTTCAATTCTTAATGCAAGGTCGAGATCCATGCAGCCAAGAACAATTAATATGTTCTTTTTCCAAACCTTGAAGTTTGTCCCATTTAGTATGGGAATTGAGTTGATGTTAGCAGAAATTATTACAGCAGATGCATTAGCTGAAATAAAATAAAAATGCTCACATCAATAACCGCCGCCGCCGCCATTGTTCCCTAGGGTTTTCACGCACGAACCCTTAGAGGGTTAAATCTGAAACCGCCGCCGCCATTGTTCCCGCACCCAAAGGTCGAAACCCTAGGGTTTCCTAACGCCGCCGTCGCCATCGAAGTTGAGAGCGAGGCCGCCAGCGACACTTTGCCGGCGAGGAGCACGGGACCAACGACCAAAACACAATAGATCCAAAAGAATTTCTCGATTTTATTTCAAAACAGATCCAGAATCGAAAACAATGAATTTTCTTGATCCAGATCCAAGAAAAAAATCGAAGAAAAAATCAAGGTGGCTCTGATAAAATACAATTAAGATCTGAATGTTACTGTTCATCCAAAAATAAAACACGTAACTGTTCATCCGAATGTTACTGTTCATCCGAGAACAGATCTGAATAAAACATAATTAAGATCAAAGAACCCTAAATTTTAATCTTAATCTCTTAGAACAAATCAATGTGGCTCTGATACCACTTGTTAGATCTTATAAAAATTTGAGATCTAAACCATAAAGCCATGATTAATTCAAAGAGATTTACAAGAATCAAAATAAAAGAGCGAAAGCTTATACCTGAATCCATAGATTAAACTTGAGATGGGTTTTGGATCTTCTAACCTTAGGGTTTCTCTAGCCAAATTTCTCTTTAGATGGGGGTGAAGAGAATTAGAGAATGTAACCTAAATTAGGGACCATAACCCCTTATTTATAGATGTTGTACATTTGTAATTTGGCCCCTCATCAAATCACAATTACAATCTGGTATCTGCACATATAACCCCATGATTATATTTAAAATACTCATTAACCCAAATTGATTGATCACTTTAGTGGGTTATCCTGAAGGATAGCAATACACACAGATTAATCATATGTGGCCACAAATAGATTTAATTAGATTTAAATCCAACAGCAGTCACAAATACCTTTGACAAATATGTTCAAATTGAGAAGTATAGAAAGATTTGAGAGATTTGTGAGAACTTGATAAATTTACTACTAGTATCGAAATGTCTATACACAAGAGAAGAAGAGAAGATCTAGTATCGTGAGCAATGTGAGATTAAAATAAAGGAAAATAAGACGGTCCAAATACATTATTTAGCACCTCTTTTCAAACTACATTTAAGTAACAAAGACACTTTACTAAAAAGAGGTGTGCATGACGATTTAAATTACCTAAACATCTATGCTCCAACAGGTTGACCACCTCTTTTATGCACTAAAATATGAACTCGTGCAATGACATCAATTCTAATAGAACCCGCATTAAAGTTATGGGGTAGTGGGAATCGAATCTGGGTGACTATGATACTATCTTAAAATCTCTCTGACTATTACATCAAAACTCCGAAGTTATGATAAGGATTAAAGATTACATATTTTTATATTCTAAAAATGGGATCTGATTGTTGCACTTTTTATTTAATTTTCTTTTTCACTTTTATTTAATTTTTGTTATCAATTATTGTTTATTAAACGACATACGTCTCGCCTGCTTTCTTTACTCGCTTGCTGTATCACGGGGTCAAATCAATTGACTTCCCCCGTGAGTAGTTTTTCTTCACCCGGGGCTTCACATGGCTAATTCACAATTATATCTAAATGCAAACGTACTTTTATAATCTTTCAAAGGTACTGGTTCACTATCAAAACGTAAGAAAACCCTTTTTAAAGAGCTAACTTTTTCAGCCACCGTTATGTGAAATTTACCCATTTTATGAGTTAGAATATGAGTCTTCCCAATTCTCATCTGTAAAAGATTAGAGCAGTTTTTAATAACGCACAGAATGCAGCAATAGAAAGTATTTATACAATATTCGATTTTTAAAACATGCGGAAAACCATTATTAGCATTTAATCTTACAGATTAGGCGAAAGCAATTCTTGTCATTTCTGATTTAATTGCATATTCCTTTGTGACGGCTGATGATGATTTAATTAAAAGTTTTTGAGATGTAATCCCTGAAATCCATTGGCTCTTGCTCTTTATTCAAATAAAGACGAATGTGACTTAATTGATATCATTTTCATTAATCAATGGATAGGAAGGCATCAATACACGCAATAATGTAGTCAACGAATAGCTACCAGAGCAAAATTGGAAGCTTTAATGCACTTGTTGACAGCTTCTTCCTTGTCTTTAAGCTAATCTTATCATGTAAATTATTTTTCTAACGGGCGCGTACCCTGGGCACTCGTTAATAGATGAGAGATAGAGAGAAATGAATGCGCCTGAGCGACGGTTTAGAAAAATCCTTATGTAAATAGCAAATTCAATGACAAATTACTATCTAATATCTAACATGCACTACTATGCATTCACAATTGTTGTCATGTTCCCAAGGTTGGTAATGGATTTTCTCCCGCCCAAGAGACAATAAAAAGAAAAAGGAAATCCGTACCTACGTCTGGCTTCTGTTGATTTTTTAAGAGTGCGAACACCATCAGAATTTCACACTCCATCAGAATACTCCACGTGTACCAGAATTCTTCTCATTTAAAATATTATTCATGTTGGAATATAGAATTACATTCTGAGGAGTGATAGGGGCACACCCCCAACCACAATTCCAACCACACCTCATCTCTTCCAACCACACCTCATCTCTCTCTATAGTGCATTGGGACCTACATAAAATTTTAAAAAACAATTTCATGTGGATCACAATGCACTATAGAGAGAGAGGAGGTGTGGTTGGGATTGTGGTTGGGGGTGTGCCCCTAACATTTCTATTACATTCCTTAACGCTCATCACAATTTCGAAAAAAATTTAGTAGAAATTTTAGTAGAGTTGCAGGATGTTTTAACATGGCAGTGGAGAAATCCAGTTTCAAATTTTGCCAGCCAGATTTCCATCGTCACCGACGCCACAAACTTCGAATTTTGGTACAACGATGGGCTCCCTTCGACAAATTGGAGTAGAGCACAAGATTTTTCAAACCTTTTATCATTATCAACCGATACAACTGCCTCCTATATTTAACAAAGGGGAAGCCCACAAGTCCATTTTACACTATAAACTTATCCGCACAAATGGCGTCAACCAAAGCCCATTCCCTTAACAAAACAACAATCAAACAGACTGCTCAGCGGGCCTCACATCCTCCTCCTCCTTCTTCTTTTTGGCTTCCAGGTACTCACCATAGGAGTAGGAAGCCAGTCCCCAAAGCGAGAGGACGACCGCTACCCCCTTTTCGCTACTGAACTTTTCATGAAAGATTATGACACCCAACGTCTCGGTCACTGGGATAAACACCGCGATGATGACTCCAGCCAGAAGTGTATTGGTGCAGAAAATTACGCCAACAGTGCCGAGGAAGAAGAATTGCCAGAAGATTGCTGAGAAAAAGAGGACCGTGTAGTAGTTGGTCTCCCCTATGTCATAATGGCTGGCTTCTCTAGGGATTGCCTGCAGTTGGATTTGTTCTGGTATCAGAAATTCTCAATATAGCCGTCTGAGCACAAGCACAGAAATACAAAATAATCTGATTACATTTGGTCTACAACAAAATTGAACAGCAGCAAAGCCAAGGCTGGTTCCCTAATTAAAATTGGTTGCATGAGAAGTTTCTACGTCACGAAACACCAGCGACGAAGTTCATAAAATCGAAGACTCCAAAACAAATCTTAGCTGCATATGAGCTGATTCAGATCTGGCTGAATTTGAAGAGGACTTAGAAATTTTGTGATTGACAATATAAACACTAATAAGCTGCCGCCGCACCACTTGCACAGTAGATGCTTATATGTAATTATAATAGTATGTGCAATAACCTTTCACAATTCAATATGCCAATCATCTGTGGAACAAGAAACAATATATATTAAGATCATGGCTCTCTTATGTGATCCAATTAAATGCATAACAACCAACATTAATTTATAATATTATTGTGCTGATTTAAGTATGCCAAAAATGAAACTCGTTCTAATATTCTAATTATATAACAAAGAAGTATCAATACATACGGATACTTGATTGAATCAAACATACAAAAATATCAAAGGGTTAATTGAACATGAATTAGACTTAGTTCTAATCCCCAAAATAACCTTCATTATGAGCAGTGTAAGGAAGGGTATTTTGGGACCCTTAAATACTCGTATCTAGTAAAATGAGAATCAAAGTGGTATAAGCTGAGGCAAAATTCAGAAACTTCTCATCACTGGAGAATCAAAATTAACCATGCTAGCCAACATTGACCTATCAATGACCCAAAGAATACCACCTGACCTTAATGAAAGGGTTATTTCGATATTAGTCGCCCAAATCATCAGTGTTTTTATATTAGTCCTCAAATCATCATAATTGCTATTAGGTCCCCCAAATCCTCTAAATCTGTTGAAATAGGTCCTCTGTTATATAAGCCATCTAAATACCTTAACAGTGGTTGGGTCTTAGTTAACCATGGATGTGTAATTACTATATTACCCATGCAAATTAAATTCCCACCAAAGCCCTCTCAGGCTTTACAATATTACCTCCTCTGCCATTGTCATGGCCACACCACTACCACCGCCTCTACCGCGTCCACCATTACCCCTCCACCACTACTGCCACCACTGTCCCATCATCCATACTCCTTCCTGTCCCCACCTCCACCGCTGCCCCATTCGCTCATAATTCAAGTTCAATTCGCCGTATTCTTATACTAGTTTCGTAGTGGTGATAATCATAGTGACACTAACAGCTTGAGAAGGGATGAAAATGGTGGTTATTATGGTGGAGGTAATAAAAAACTCCTAGCCTGCTTTGCATCTAGTGAAATTTTACCCCTTTCTTCGTCTCCCTCTCACACCCTAAATCAAACGTAAAATCATCCTTTGTGAACTCCATTAGAGAGATTAAGATGCTTTAGGGAAGAGATTCTAGGTTGGAGATGGAGAATGGAAGAGGAATCAAATGAGTTTGGTGACGGACTCGTGCAGGAGAAGATAAGAGGTATCTTGGGTTTGGATGAAATAGGTCTGGAGTGTTAGTGGGTATAAACTAATGGCCTGTGGGATTTGGGTCTACAGCATTTGAGGGTATAACTGTCAAAACCATCATAAAAATTAAAAGGTGTTTTAGCATAGATACCCCTCAAATCTTCCATATTTGCCAATTTACCCCTTAGATCTTGATATTTGCAAACTTACCCCTCAGTTCTCTCACATAGAACTTTTCTACCCCTTCTACTGAAAGTTGAGTTTTTAAATGGGAAATTGTTGCAACATTAACTGAAATTATTGAATTTTTATAACATTGCACTGTTTAAAAACAAAAATTGTTAGATAGGAGGGGCAGAAAAATTCCAATGTGAGAAAATTGAGGGGTACATATGTAAATACAAAGATTTGAGGGGTAAAGTTGCATATATGGAAGATTTGAGGGGTATATATGCAAAAAACCCAAGTTAAATTAACTGAAATTTTCCTCTCCATTCTAACTGCTGCTAACTTAGGGAGACCTATTTCAACACACTTAGGTGATTTGGGGGCCTAATTGCAATTACGATGATTTGAGGAACTAATATCAAATACTGATGACTAAAGGGACTAATACCGAAGTAAACCTTAATGAAATTCAAATTAATTAGAATTTAGAACCAACCAAACAGGAGATAGTTTGTGCACACAAGAATGATTAAAGGCCTTTTTGTTGGGATTCATAGCAAAAAGGTGAGTTAAAAAGACTGATAACATGGCTAATACAAGATTTTAAAGTGATCACTTACTGAGCAACCATATCATAATTGACTCTCAGTGACTAACAGATCACTCACTTACAATCATCACAAAATACAGAAAAAAGTAACCAGTGTCAAAAATAGTGTTCCGCGATAATAACCCCTACTGAGAAATATAAGGGAAAACTTCTTAAACCCCTCCAATCGACTTAAAATTAACCCCAGCCCCCCTCCTCCTCTCATGTTGCCCCTTTTATAAAGACAAGATCAAGCTAGAATTTAACTCCATAACCCAATTTACCTAACAAGTGAAAACAAATGTTTAAAATATCAATATACATCTTGCCTTTAGTTAAAAAGCAAAATTTTTATTTTTATTTTTAAAAACACTAAATAGGTTAGAATACTTCTCAAGTGAATCAAGGACCATGTCAAAATTACTGAATTGGAATAAGTTCCAAGATTCTATGTTATTTCAACTCTAGACTATATCCATGCTCTTTTTTCATCTATAAGAAAACTGAAAGTAAAGATAAACAAGAGAGAGAGAGAGAGTTCCTCACCTGAAAATCCTTATTCACAATCATCCCCACTGCACAAAAAGCAGTAGCAAAGAACCCCATCACAAACTGCATCTCCATCACCAACGTATACGTAATTGCTTGCTTTGCTTTACGATAAGTAAGTTCCACAAGTGGCAGTACTAATCCATATAATGCAGCTGCCCCTAATGTCAAGAAAAATCCCACAAAGTATTCTCTCTTCGATACTCCCTCTGGCCGATCCGAACTGGCATGTAACCCTATTATCACTGCCCCGACTGTCAACAATGCTACAGAATTCAATGAAAATGGTGTAAACCTTTGTTTTACAACAAGAAAAGCAAAGAAAGCAGTGAATGCTAGCTGAGTTGAGATTAACAAGGCTGAGGTTGATACAGGAAGGAAAGAAAGGCCATAGGCATAAAGAAAATCATCAAGACCGGTCATAAGACCAAGGAAAGCAGAAGCAAAGAAAATTGGAAGGGTGATGAATATCAGTTTCGTGTTTGGATCACGACGACGACGGTGAAAGTAGGAGAAAGAGAGTGGGAGGATGATAATAGGGAAGCCAGTGGTTTCAAGGAAGCTTGAAAGCCATTGGCGGTGACCTCCATGACGAAAGTAGAGGCGGGAGATTAAAGGTCCGCCAGAATTGCCCAGGATCATGAGAGTGCAGTTAATGATAATGAGGAGATTCTTGAGACTTCTATTGATCTTTTGGTCTTCCTCATTGTTTTGGTGCTTCTCATATGTGGATTCCATGGCTTCTTTGCTGCCTGCAATGAGAGATTTTGGATGAGAGATTAGGTGGAGATTTATACCTGGAAAGAGGAATTCAAGTTGAAATCTAGAGACCTATTCATTCATAGCTACTAGTATTGAGGTAACAAGCTCAATCTCTATATATTCTTCAAAAGGCCAATTATTTTGGGCATAAATCCCCCACTTTTTAAAAGTGAATCTTGACCTTTGAAACTATATAGCTACCACTAATTAGGTATCCAAATAAAGTAACTTGAATGGTAGCCGTGTAGCTTATAAGGTCCTTTAATTAGGCATTGAAAGCTGATCAAAGATTTGGACTTCATGTGTAGCTTAATACCCAACTTAAAACGCTAAATAATGGTGGGAAAATGGCTTTAAAAGTCATGTTTGAATGCCTAATATGTCTAATAGTACATTTACATCAACATCCTATCTAAAGCAATACAGCTATCATTCAAGTTCAACATCTTTCCATAATCATCTAACTGAAGGAACTTCTCCCATGTATTAACTATACTTTACCTTTTGAGCTCATACAGGGTATGAGCTCTCTTTCATTAATTGACCCTTCTTAGCCTAAACCTGTCCCCTACACTAGATAATGACGTTGTGAATAGGGATATACTTTTTTTCATTATAATACAGGAACACGTCTAATTGTGGCACTCTGTAAAGAATGAAAAAGTCAAGACTCACGAAAAGCGACTGCCACTAGACTCGCGTGTTGTGATTGGTTAGTGCTAGTGTTAGGTATAGGTTGGGTATAGATTTCCAAATGGGGATCTATTTTTGGGACAAGTGTCCGCAACAGCAGCAGCTGCTGAAGCACGACTGTCACTAGAATTCCTTGAAAAGAATATATGAATGCACTCTAGATATACTTTCGAGCTAATTTGCAACTCAAGGGCACTTAATACTGTTCACAATGAGGCGCAACAATCATGGGTGCCGTGCAAGCATTGTTGTGAGCATATCAGCTAAGCATTTGAGCCCTGTGAGCATATACAGCTCTTCTAGGGGTCCACGAGGAGGAAAGAGGCTCATCTAATAGAAATCATGAGGAAAATATAGTGAAGAAGACTGTATAAAACATGACAGTAGAAAGCCTAACAAGAAATAAATTTAAGGAAACTTCTGTATCATTATTTTGATCGCGGTTTTTCAATGTTTCCCGAAAACAACTCTAGATTATGAACAGTAGGCCTCTAAAGACTAAAAGGAGCAATCATTTTTTATTTTAGTTATTTGTTTAAAGCTAAGTTCCATGTATATGAATACGGCCACGGGTACTAGTACTGGTACGGGACAAGGCAAATTTGTAATAGATAGGATACCGGAATGCAGCTAGACATATGTATTAATGTTATGTATATATAAATATTTTTTTCATTTACATAAAATCAATATATAAAAAATAGATATGAAGTGTAGAGTATATGTCCAAGAAGTGGATGAGGATTGTTTTAAATTAAAACGTGTATTATATAATTGAGTATATGCCTGAAAAAACGTATGCAAATATTCATGAAGAGTCCAAGAAGTTCCGGTATGGATACAAGTACGTGTCCAATGCAGCTTCCGATCAGAAGTACCCACGTATGATAGGTTTAAAGATAAAATAGGACAAAATAATATTATTATTTGAATAGTGTTTGTCCAGTTGGAATAAGAAACATTATAAGGAAAACAATGTGAACTTCCACTATGCTGGAGGAAAAGAATCACTATTTGTATTCCACAAAGAATAAAAGAAAGAGCTGGTGGTATCAACAAAAATAATTTCAACATTCACTAAGCTAGAAGCAAATAATATATTGTTTACAGGATTAAATTGGATAACTTTCGAAATCTTTTGCCCCCTTTGCAAATAATAGGCATATGCTCAGCCACTTACAGTAGCTCATGCATAACATTTACTGCAATATTTCATAAAATAGTTTATCAAGAAGAACTATACGAAAATTCATCTTTCAAGAGAAAGTAAGAGGCAAACTAAAGAAAACAACAGACTTTCTTTCTAAGGGAAAGAAAGCAACAGTCATTTTGTGATGAAAGACAATTGACGAGTCTAAACCCTAAAGTAAAACAATTTTTTGTTCAGACACCTATCCAGTGCCCTACTTACTATCAAAATCTCGATATCCCTCCCTTATTTCTCTATGAATCAAAAGAGTACTGCTAAGTATAAAATATGAATTCTCTAGTTTTTACTTCACCCACCAAAAGGTGACAAGAAAAATGGAATTTTCTATAAATTATCTTTTGAAAGATTTGGATTGCAAGTAACAGAAATGAAGAGCACCAGTTAACTTATAGATCTAGACTGCTCAAACAGATAAAAAGTATCTTCTCAGATATTCTAGTTTCCTCGGTTTATTTTTAAAAAAACAAGACGCGGGATATAGTAATATATTTTCTAAAGTTATGCAACAAGGAATAAGGAAAATTGTGTCCCCTGAAAGAAAAAATACGGGAGCTGAACCTCGGAATGCTAGAATTCAAGCATTCTCATGATGCTGCAACAAGCTGAAATATAAATAACTCAACACGAATGAAAAAGATGCCACAGTGCATGAAAAGGAAAACGGAAGCATATATTAAATCCATAGTAGTAACTTTAGTGATGAAAGTTGTGTGTATATTAATCTTTGTGTAAGCATCGGAAGGAAATTAGGGTGCTATGTGTTTCCCAAATTGCCCTTCAAACTATTCTTAAGTTGGCATGACAGATTGAACAGCGTAAATTCATGTTACTGATATAATCATATTTTGGGCTATATATTGTTACTAATCATGAATAATGGAGAGTTTAAGTTTGTTGATACTGAATAACCAGCAGAGTTCAGTCTGGCAACACTGGATGATCACTGGCCAAATTCGGGAATTTATTTCAAGTTTCTAATACATTCTTCTGATGTAGCCAGTGAGACAAGAAGCTATCACACAAAAGATCTTTATCACATATAAAAGATTGGTGCCAAATCAAATGAGCTAGAGGAGAATAAAAGCAAACGGTTATCTTACTCCTCGACATAAAATAGCATCTCCAATTGATTCTCATGAGCTATGTAGGATTAATTAGAATTTCCCTCCAAAGAAGTGAGCATTCTAACCACAGACACAACTAAGAAATTTATCGCACTAGTGGAAGAAGATGACGAATTCCACCCAAAGATTGACACACTTTATGTCTCCCAAGGAAACTTTACTAAATTCCATCAATATCTTGCTTAATAGGATATCCAAAAGAGCTCTAGATATAGAAGATGTTTTAGACTGCAAGGTAATTTGCACAAGGATAAAGGGTAGCTTGATAAACAAAGAAAATTGGTGTAAACTGACAAGACAATGCACCAAGAAAACAATTCAAAATAGTATATAAAAAATAGAAATCATGCAGAAAGGAAGAGCCAATATGTGTAGAACGCACAACCACGTAACAGAAGCACAGAATTCTATCAGTCAGAAAAATAAACTAATATTTACAATTCCCAGTTTATTACATACTCCAACTAAATTTACCCAGTTTTATCACGAGCGAAGTATGAAATCTAGAAATGACAATGATTCTGTGAGCATATTGGGTGTTGGCAGAGAGGGAAAGTTGCAGGGTATGGGTGAGAGGGAGTAAGGAAGGATCATTGGAGGACAAGAATGAAAGCACGGAAGAGGGGAGGGGGGAGAGTTCATATTTATGTCTTTTGCATAGCTCGTTCAATTACATCTCACACGTAAGATAGCATAGTTCTTAAGGAACTGTAAAGATCATATAAAGGTTGTGGGTTGAAAGTGAGAAGAATAAGTGAAGTACAGAGTAGTAACATGAACTAGCAAAATGCGAGTGTAAAATCCGGTAATGGCTAAAGAGCTAGATAAGACATTGAATAGTTCAGTTTGTATCAGTCGTCAATATCAAATTAGGTGATCAGGTCAACTATGCAAGAAACCTCTCCTGGAAAACTAAAAAAATTATTTTTCAGGTTAATTACATTTACCCTGAGGTGTAGTGTAATTACGTGGGTGACCTTGAAATTTGCATATCTATAGGTGAACCTGAGATTGTTGATTGTAATTACACGAGTGAGCCTAGATTCTGTTCAAAAGTTAACATTTTTTTTAATTTTTTGCTGATTTGGAGTTCTTGTTTGATGTCAATAAGCATTAGAGTTAGGGTTGGGTTTTTGGGTAGGGTTTGGAGTAGCCATGAGGGTTGGGTTAGGAATAGAGTTATCGCAAAGATTACTCACATTGTTTTTGCTGATTTGGAGTTCTTGTTTGATGTCAATAAGCATTAGAGTTAGGGTTGGGGTTTTGGGTAGGGTTTGGAGTAGCCATGAGGGTTGGGTTAGGAATAGAGTTATCGCAAAGATTACTCACATTGTTATAACCCTAATCTAAAATCTAGTAGTTAGCAATTGTTGTTATAAACTTATAATATTAACCATAACCTAATCGTAGTCGTAACCCTAACTCTAATCCTAATTAGCAGACAAAAAGAAGTCCAAATCAGCTAAAGATAAATAGTGTTAACTCACCGACGGATTCTAGGGTCACTTATGTAATTACAATCAACGATCTGAGGGTTACTTGTGTAGATACCTAGGTCACCAGTGTAATTACACAATACTTTAGGGTGCCAAAATGTAACTAATTAATTCTTATTTTTCACCGTATGCTACATAGATATAAGGTGTCACTAAACAAAAATACATGGATATAAGGTTATAAGCTTGATATAAATATCAAACAGTACCTAGCAAACTACCTAATTATCTGGATTGAAGTTCTCTGCATACGACGGCTCTGTCTCCACCCTGAAACTAACAAAAATAAACAAAAGAACTGAAATTAAAATTTTCCTTATTAACTAATCAGCATGACATCATAGTGTTCTGAAAATCCATAAGAAGCAGTTCATGGAATTGAAGTGAAGAAAGTGGAGGAAGGTGACGATTGTTTGCTTCCCTTGCTTGCATGGATCCAACTAGAATCTTCTACAGCCAAAAGGAAATCAACTTAAGCCCCAACAATCATTTCAAACCCCAAAACTTAACCAAGGATGGCTAAGACTGAAGTAGTGGTGGTGGGTAGTGATTTGACTTGTAAGGCAAAGACTCATTGTCCATGATTCTTCAGAGGAAAGGTGATCGGATAAAATATAATGAGATGGGATAGGCACTAACGGGTTTATAAAGTGTCCAATAGGTTGAAAGAAGTCCTTAGGTTGAGAATCAGCAGATGATCATGCAAGCATAATTTCAAGGAAGATACGGTAATCCCTATAATTTTTGGTAAAGTTGAAAAGAGCAAGATAAAAAATGAATTAGAATGGTAGGAAAGTAAGGATTCATAGAAAATATCTCCAATATAAAAACCTTCAAAATGACATACGGTCCTCACTTGTTAAAGAAAGAGTGCACTTACAGTTCCAGAGCGGAACGTATCACACACTGATGCTAGCTAGATACGTTTGTGAAGTGTATATTATTAAAAGAGCATACCATGTGCCACTAATCAAAAGGTCGATAACACATGCATATAATTGCCACTTTACACCTAGTTAATTCTTCCAATCACATCGTTGTACAAGAATTACAGGGTACATAAACACCTTATGAATCCCACTCTTTACAGTTTTGAGTTCAAAACAATTAGGCGCTTCATCTTTAGACTCTAATTGTAACCTTCGTAACGTCATTATCTATTAAGTAATGCGTTAAAAAAATATCTCCAACACTAACAATCTCAAAATGGCATATGGACTCACTTGTTGAAGAGAATGCCTGTTTCAGATTACTGAGCAGAATGTACCAGACACTTATGCAAGGCAGATATTTTTTTGTGTAGTGAATATTATTAAAAGAGCGTACCATGTGAAAAAATCAGAAGGTGGATAACTCTCACATGAGTATAATTGTCACTTTAAACTTGATTAAATTTTCCAATCATCCTATTGTCAGACAATTAGATAGTGCATAAGTAGCTTATGGATTCCGTCTTTCCCATTTCGATTTCGAAATAATTAGATTCTTCATCTTCTGACACCAAAAGTTACCGTGCAACATCATATCCAGAAGTAATATGAACAGATATGCTTGGTATGTTACACAACCTTAGGGAATTTTTGTACTTGGTTTCGCAGTTAAACGAAATATTACTGATTAAATCATTCTTTTTTAAAAACTTTTCTCAAATACAGTTGCAAATTTATCATCTATCCGAAGATGATTTTACATTGTAAAAATTAGCAATACTGAGTATAATCAGTACGATCTGGACCCCTTCAATTGAACTTATTGCTGCATAGGTTAGGAAATACAATTTAGGCCTTGATTTAATAGTTCAAGCATGCTCAGAATCGCAAGGATACAACAACAAAGCCTTTATCCCTATGTTCTTGTGTCAGCTACATGAATCCTACACTTCAATTCCGTTGTATCGAGAGCTCTCCTCCAATGAGTTAATTATTATCAAAACCCTTCTTCACAGCTCCTAACTAAGTTCTTGTAAGCCTACGCTTGTCCTTTTAATGCAAGGAAACATGCTCCTCTTCTTTTAGTGAAACATGTTTCATTATTTAAGTGACCAAAAGTGTTCCCCAGTTTTGTGTTTCCATACTTCGCAAGAACGGGCATCGAGCTATCTTCATGTGAAGTGAAAATATCTTGACAAAGTATTTTCAACCAAACATTATAAGGATGGGTTAGACCAGGCTTTGGTCCAGCACCTTAATCTTCCATAGTTATAAAATTAAGGATCGGTCCACCCTTGGGACCTGTGCCTGAAACTTCTATGGTTATAAAATCCTGACCGGCACACTTAGAACAAGTTAAGCCGGAGATTGAGCTATAAATGCACAAAAGAGAACCAAATGCGTTGCGCGGGTCAAGGTACTTATTTGATTACCATAATCTCTAAAAAATGAGAATATGGTGGCTTATGCTATGACACGGTGCACACAAGCTAAAACTTGTAAAATCCACATATATATAAATACGGAATGTCTCAGTCTGCAACCTTGATTCTCATCAATTCAGATGTTAGCTCAGTTCCGTGATTCCACCAATGCTACATATTTAAAACGACGGGCAATTCCCAGCATTCACCATAAGCACACTCAACAAGTTGTCACTAGGTATTTACGAGTTCGGCAATAAATAGGATAAATTAGATGAACGGGCCTATAAAACGCCATCTCAAAGACATCTGAAGAAATGTGGCAGAACTGATGAAGAGCCCACACTTCTCCTCAAATGGATTACAATTGTTTCCGCCAAATTTCTTTTTGCACTTTTTATAATTATAGAATATAGAATCTTGAACCAAAATGGCATACAACTATATTTCAAATGTCCTGACGCTCACTAAGCTAGTCACCTAGTTCTCGCAATCCAAAGGTTCGCTAGTAAACGGCCTGAAAAATCTAAAAAGAGTAACACAAAAATCCTAGGGAACCAAAAATCTAGGTTAAAACGGTTACAACCTTGATCACTCATTGTTTCCCATGTAAAGAAACGCAAACACAAAAAAGGAAATGCAAAGAAAGGGATATTGGAATTAATAATTCTGAGCGGGATTTATAAAGTTAGGGCAAGATTGATTATATCTTTTAAGCCCAAAACAACACCACAATCACCTAAACAACTCAGGCCTTTGGGCCGAAGAGGACGCCACCGGCAAAAAAGTTGGAAGAAATTTGTGAACAAACATAAATCAATCCGCTAACCAACAATCGTTCATTATGATTCAAATAATGTCCAAAGGGAGTTAAAAAAAAAAAAAAGGGGGGGATTCACGGTACCTTAGAATGGGAAATTATATCTGCAAAACTCCAAAATAATTGAATAGTCCTGCCAAAGAAAAGAGAGGATGATAAAAGATGAATTCTAGGGTTCACTCGCTCAATCAAAATCAAGGAAGTACGTATAAATCGCTAAATTTGATACCTTTCATTTCTGAGAGTGGGAGAGACGGTAGAAAATCGAGCAGTTAAAAAATCTTAGAGGGGCTTTGTAAACGTGGCGAGTGATGAGCTACGTTTGAGGAGGAGCCCATTGACTCCGTTGTGAATGTAGAATTTAATACTCGGTCAGAGGGAGCAAGCTAAATTTTCGAGACGAAAAGCCAAAGATAGGCTTATAAATTGCACTTAGATGTCCCATAGTTTCAAACATATTGTACTTATATACCCTCGGTTGTTTATGGCAACGCTTATATAGCATGATGTTTTTTTTTTTTTTTCTTTTTGTTGATTGAATGATATACCCTGGAGTTTTTAAGGTCTCCCTTACGTATCCTCACAACTTACATTTAAATACCTTAAGTTTTTAAAATTTGTACTTATCTATCTTCCTTCGCTCACCCCTCAAATATCCAGTCGATACTCCTTTTCCTAGAAAAAACTATAATATCTTAGGAAAGTTGTCAGTTCAATAATATCTTAGGAAAGAAGCGGCCACTTGGTCCTCCTAACATAATTTTACGATTCCCAAAAAAGAAAGGTTTCTCCACAAACAAAAAACAACGCTAGCCATATCTATAAAAAAAAGGGGAATATAATGAACTGAGCATAGCAAAATCGAGTCATTATTGTTAATACAAGAAAGATGAGGTTTGCATATGTGATAACATCCAAGCAACAAAATTTAAATAAGTTAATTGCAGTGGCGGACCCACCTTAGTTCAAGATGGTTCACTTGAACCACCTCAGATTTTCAAAAAAAGATTATATACTATACATATCACCGAAAATACCAATGGTCTCTACAGCCTAGTGGTATCAAAGCTGGTTTAAAAAAGTGAGTAAGAGGTCTGGAGTTTGATACTCCAACCTTGCACATTTGTTTTTTCTTAACAAACCTCCCCTCATTTTTTCTTATTCTGCATGTGGCTAATTGGCCATGTATATTTTGAACCACCACTAAAAATGGTGTAGATCCGCCACTGGTTAATTGTTGCTGATGAAAGTGTTCATGACATTATAGTGGGAAGTTAGATTTTATATTGGGAATTTGGGTTTTTATTAGAGGTAGGTAGATATTGCTAAGATAATCGCACTTTTTGCGTTACTCAAACACCTCATAAAAGAAATCAGTGATATTCAAGTCAAACATTTAAGGCTCAAAATTATAAGGCTAAATACCACATAAATGCCATATAGTTTCATCTCTTTAGCACTTATATACCCTAGATTGTAGTTTATAGCAAGTATATGGCTAAATACCCTATTGTTTCACCTAATTTTCACTTATATACCACCAATTCTAAATTTGCACTTATATAGCCCCACTTTTTTTAGTAGCAGTTATATAGCCTGAAGTTATAAAACTTTCGCTTGAATATCTTAAAGTTTTCAAAATCGACACTTAAAAGACCCTAAAATTTTAAAATTGGCACTTAAATACCATCAAGTTAACATAATTGAGGGCATTTAAAAACTTCATGGTATCTAAGTGCCAATTGTAGAAACTTTAGGGCATTTAAGTGCCGTAAAAAAAATAAGAGTATATAAGTGCAAGTTTGAAAATTTTTAAGCTATTTTTTTTGCTATCAAATACAAATAGAGATATATAATTAAAAAGTGGATGAAACAATTGGGTATATAAGCGTTATTTAGCCCAGGCCCCAGGTGTATACCTCAACATGCCCGCCGTTAGAATCCTACGAACGGTGTTAAAATTTGTGTGTGTGGAAAAAATTGCTCTCCCTAATGTTAAACTTTTTAACCGGTTCTTTAAAAAAAAACCCCAATTTACTTTTTACCCAATTTCTTCAGCAGCTAAGCTTTGATGACCACATCCATCGCCGCTTTAAGCTTCAACCGAGACAAGAAAGTCATCACCGCACCTCGTCTAACGTTGACACGTACGAGATGAATTTTACATTTTTAACCGCATCTTGATGATAGGCTAATTTTGGGGCACTTAACACCGTTCATAGTGAGGCGCCGCGTCATTGTGGTCCAGGGCCTAGGCTCGGGCCCAACTCAGCCCACCTCTGGGAGGGCAGAATCCAGCGCATCCAGATTTTCGTTGTGTTTAATATTATTTTATTTACTAATGTTGTAGATATTTAATTGTATATTTGTACTTTTTTAACGCTTTTAATCCTTAATTAAAGAACAATTTGATATAGCATAAGAAATGAAACAATAATATCGAATAAAATCGTATATTTATAGCACAACATATAGAAAAATACCATAAACATAAAGATATAACGTGGTTCGGATCAAATTTTTTGTCCACGTGAAGTAAATAAATATCCTTTTATTTAAAAATAATACAGCAAGAAACAACGAAACATGAAAAATGAGAAAAACATCAACCGTTAAAGTTCATAGAGGTTAATTCTTCAAAGAATCTTTCAAACAAAACACACATCTCCACATGTGATGCTACCAATCATATTGTTATGTGCTGAACAAACACTAGCTCGTGCCTAATTAGGCTGGCACCAGCTCTCTAGTTCTACGTCTAGAAGTAAAAAAACTGGAACCCGAACCCGAACGTAACAAGTTCGGCTCACTACCTGGCTAGGCCAGGTTGGCCTACGGACGGATTCGGTCCACCGTTGGTTGGGGTTCGGTGGCCCATGGACCGAACTGGCCAGAAATAACAACCCCTACGTACGTACATAGATAGATGAGAAATGATGGAGTAAAGGGAAATTGTTTTTAGCTAATATAAGTTGCACTGATTTGCCATTTGTGACATTTAATAACTGGAATTTACGTTTATACATGTTACTCCGATTTGTTATTTGTAATACTAAGCTATTAAATATTATATTTATTTTTTATTTGTGATTTTAGGCTATTAATGTTATATTCGTTTATTATTTGTTGCTTTTAGCAAATAGTTAATTACCCACATTCACTACTTGTTGTGTCATTTTCAACATCTAAAAAGTATAACATTTAAATGTCGAAGTTGAGAAAACGAAAATGTAAGAAACAAACCACAAATATGGAGGCAAGACACGTACAGAAGTCGCAACCTTTGGAAACCCTCGTACTCGCACTTTGAGATGTGCAAGCGCTTTTGTGCGGTTCAACCTTTTCCACGGGGGCATGACCTTTTTCAAACAGGGGGTTAGAAACAATTTTCCCTTGAACAATTAATCAACAGGGACAAGCCCGGGGCCCAATAGAACAGGGACGTAACAATAATAGAGCAAAAGTAAAGATAAAATGATAGACACGCAGATTTACGTGGTTCGGCACTTGATTGCCTACGTCCACGGGCAAGGATAGAAGAATTTACTATGAGGAGAAAACTCTGGAGTTACAATCTCTCTTAACAAGGAGATACTCTCTCTATTTTCTCTTACTCTTCTACAATAGAAGTTGTTTCTGGGAAGAGTTTTTCCTTAAGGATTTGGAGCCTATTTATAAGGTTTGGAAAAATACTATTCATAATAAATATTAATATTTTACTATACTGTGGGGTCCGCTATTTTTTGTTTTTTGTTTTCCCTCTTCAAACTTTGCTGTTGCCCACACGCCTCTTTCTTCCTCTTTTCAACATCTTTTCAAGACTGTGACCGCTTTCGGTGCTGTGGCTGCATTAGGCGCCTGACACTAACAACAGATGCCAACAGGTTTCGTAGATCGTGTATGTCTTTAAACAGTGGATAAACTTTTGTTAGAAGCAAAATAAGCAACCTTAATTAGTAAACGGCTTACGCTCTCTCTTATTATTGTATTTTCCTATATCAATTACCCAGATAAACAGTACTCCAAGAATAATTTGATGAATCCAAGCATCCAGAAATATATACACTGTATCTTCAATATATAAAAAAATCGACACCCCAGATCCTTCCAGATACCAGTTTAGATTACTAGAGTCAGCTACAAATTATATAACAGCTTGAGGGAAGGAACAAAGGAGGAAGCATGTTATCCACATAAAGTTCAGTGGGGGGAAAAAAAGCTGATCAAACTTTTCTGCTCTCGAGTATATTTATGATGAATTAAGGTTTTGAGGAAGGAAACCATGACATATCTAGCACATCACGAATGTTGATTCATCAAGTGCTAATGGAGACTTTCACCGTCTAAGTTAGCTTTAATTATTAAACAAAAATAAAAATAAAAACCTGTCACTGGCCATCTCCGTATACGACCCGATGTTAAAAGTATTCCTCTATGCGCAGGCATTATTTTGGTTTATATTCTTCGTCTAATGAACTATCTATCTAACCTCCAAAGGTTTTCTAACAACTACCCAAAAAAAAAAAGAACAATAATCTTGATATTCATGTTGTGAAAATGTAGTGAACAATATATAAGAGCAATTAAGACAATAATAGGTACCGTGTTTTTTGGCATGCAGAAGTGACTGTCGGTGTTGATGCAAGTCCTGCAGAATTGGGACGCCGAGCTCTTCAGTCTCCAACATGGCTCTTCTGCTCTCTGTTATGCGGTCACTAGATTTGTTCGATCTTTCAGTTGAAGCTAGCTAACAGTCTGCTCCTTTGATCAGCAGAAGCCTGCAACATCATCAGACGATTTAGAGCACAAGTCCAACATAGCTGAAGAACTACAAATAGAGATATATCTGAACAATTATTGTGAATGACGTGGGTGGGGTCCACGTGATTTACAATAGCAGGTTTACAAGAGCAGGTCCACGTGAATGACGTTGGCCCACCCGACTTCACTCAGCGCGCCGCGATTGACGTTTATATAAATAACAATGTGATTTCTCCCTAGGTTTTTGGGAGCTGGAGGATTGTGAAGTTTGCGGCTGCGGCAGAAGTGCAAGTATAGAGCAGGGGGCGGAAAAAGACAGGCGCAGAAAAATTTCGGCTTCCGCTGTAGTAAGGGAAAAATCGTCGACTTTGAGAGGAGTTTTCTGTGTAATCCTTTTGTGCCCTTTTGAGAGAGTATTTGTGTGAGGGATCTGAGAGTTTGTGAGAGGGTTTAGGTTGTGAGATTGTAAACCCTAGTTGTATCTCTCCCTCTAATAGTAGATCTCCCCCCTCCTTGCCCCGTGGACGTAGGCAATTTGCCGAACCACGTAAAACTTGTGTGATTTGTGTTTGTGGCCATTGTAATAGTTTATTAGGGTCCCTCAACAAGTAAGTCTTAGAACTGATGAGAGGAAGAGCCGATATCTCATTTTGTTGATCAGATATTCGCTTCAGATTCTTGTTTCCTTTGTGAGACAGGAATTCTTATTGACCTTTCTCTCTTATTGTGCACTAGAAAGTCTGCCGAAATTTCCGCTCACAACAATTATATAGAGTATATCTGAAGAACTACATATATATATAGCAGGGTAATATCTAAAGAACCACACATAGGGGTTTTGATTTTTCTTGTACCATATATATTTATATAGAAGTTCAGCTCTCAAATCTTCAGCTTCTTTCTAAGCAGAACATGCGGTAAATAATTATAAAAAGCAGAGACACTCAGACACTATCTTCTTGCTCAATCATGTAATGCTTGAAAAGAACAGGAGGGTTACGTGCAAGCGACCCTAAGTGTATATAAAGTACAAAGCATTTAATAGACAATTCACAGCAATGAGGTTCTCTGTCTACTTTTTGGAGAATATTCTTTAGGATAGAAGCACAACATAATATTTTATCCGGGAAGACTACATATTTGATAAAAAAAATTAACAAAAGAGACATATTAGTGGTAAAGCTTGGGGACCAGCTTAATTAATAACTGGAAAAAAAATAGTAAAAAATAACTGAAAAAAATTAGTCAAAATAACATTGTTTTTCAAGGCACGTTCAAATGTAGTAACAGGTTCCAATAGTAGAAAGATGGCTAAACTGAGGATGCCGTTACTTATTGTTACCCTTGATGTCTTAGATGCTTATGGCCTCACCGCTGCTTATTAGCTTTGTTTAAGTTCATTAGTTTTGTTTAAGTTCACATTAGCTATGTCAAGTGATTACTAAGAGTATAAACTGTCATCCAAATCACTCATCTTTGCAGAAAATACTACTGCATGAGAAATGGTTTCCAAACAGCAAATGCCGATGCTTTAATTATACATTCTTCATGAAGATCTATTATTTGATAACCCAGCCCGAAATCAAACCCAATGCTGTGGGAGTCATATTGGAGTCTCGCAACAGTCTGGTTCGCCCGTGGTGGGTAACTAGGTAATATGTTTTAAGCCTCTCCAATGCATAATGCATATTTCTGTATCGCTTTAACTATACACTAGCATTTTGCCCTTTCTAAATTCTAAAATTAATTAAATTTCCCATGGCCAATCATCACAGAGGGCATTCGCTGTCAATTATCAGCATCTCATCGACCAAAGTTCACAGAAAAATCCGTAAATTAGGAAAATAGGATCATGACATTCAGCACATATATATAGTTCATTTATGCAAGAAACAAGCAATATTTTTCAAAATTCATGAGAAGCGCAATATTACCACAATCTAGAATCCCAGCGGAGGTGCACTTTTTTGAAAGAGATTCAGAGATTTCGCAATATTGTCTCTCGTACCCATCAAAAACCATCAAAAACTTGAAAGAGATTCAGAGATTCAGAGATTTCGCAGCAGTTAACATCCTAGCTAGTTTCTTTCTTTTGTTCTAGAGTGATTTATACTGTACATTCCTGGTTGAATTTTGTAATCTCTCCTTTTGACATCCATTACTGATTTGGTCTTGTTCTCCACATCGGAGCAGCAGCATGAATCAGTAGTAGATATCATTTTTGTTCCATCTCACCTTGGGCTTTAGTTATATATTGATAGGGAAATCCCTATTTTCACTAAAAAAAAAAAAACTTGACTCGTCTCCTCAAAACCAAAAATAATTATAATCCCCCTTTCATCCAAAAATGTAACGGACCACAGTCGTAGAACAATTTCAGCGCAAATTACCAAGAAATTAATTGTACCCAGATTACTGAAATCTTAGAACGAAATCAATAATAAATTTTCAAAAAAAAAAAAACCCGTGCTTTGGAGATTGTTTGGTTGATTTTTGGGGTTTTTGCTTAAATGCACAGGGTTTTGTTTTTGTAATAAGCAGATTGGGTCCGTTTTCGGTATCTTATAATTATTATATTTTTTTCGCGGAGGCCCTGCCCCAGTCTTTATGGGCTTATAAAACTTTTATGTATTATTATTGTTATTCAAGAGAAGACTTTACATATTTACGAACAATCTTTAATATATAGGTAGGACTTAATTTATTTTAAAATATGCTGTTGAACAAACAAAAGAACTCATAAAATATTGATGTAGAACACACGACGGACATGTTTATGTCAAAGTGGGACAGTCGCAAGTCAAACGTAGGCCTGATCGAGGAAAATAACTTGTTACGAAAAACAGGTCATAACTTCCAAACCTTAAGTCGAAATTAGACGAATTATATATGAAAATCAACTATCTCGACAAAGGATTCGATTTGCTCCTGTCCGTTTCGCTAAATTTCTTACGGTTTGAGAAATATCTGTATTTTTTGTCAGTTTTTTACTATTTTTAGTAATGTTTTAAGAGCCTGTTTTGTTTAGGAAACGAATCCGGTTTGATCTCAGATTTGACCGATTGACTTTCTTAATCTTAAGGAGTCTTTTTAGGAAGAGTTTTGTTATTTCTATTTTTGGTAAAACTTGAGTCATAGTAGGAGTCTTGTTTCTTTTCTATTTAAGCAGAGTCTTGTAAATCCTAGAGACATAACTTTTTATCAATAAAATTTCTCTTTTCGATATTTCCTTCGTGGATTCGAAGAGTGTTCTTTGTGGATTCGAAGAACGCCCTTGGTGGATTCCGAGACTCCCACCTCCGCGTTGCGTCAAATATCAATAAAAGATACGGTGAAATTATAAGAATATATCTAATAAAGTCACAATTCAAAAAAGTAAAACTAAAGAGATGTACAATTAAAAAAAAATTTCTCTCTACTTTTAATGGCCAGTCCGCTTTTTATATGTAAAATGTGCATAATATAAGCTATATGCTTTATGCACTTGCATTCATCACATGCAGAGCCTAATTTTATTTATTTATTGCCATCATCATCATTTTTTTGTCGAGATCAACTCTAATCATCATACATTGCATGATTTCAAGAATATCGCAACTCTCGTCTTAATTAATTACTCTTTAGTTTGGGCACTATTAGTCATTTACACTATGTTTGCACTCAAAATTAAGGTGCAATTTAATTAGTCATTTACATGCCCTTTGGTTTAGATCGATCCTCCCGCACTGTAGGGTAAGTTCTGATCCGTACACTACACACTCCTCTATTTCTCGATACGGAGGAATGCAAGCACAAGAAAATGATACGAGCAAGCTTTTCAGTGAGCAAATTACGTCGCATAAATCTGGGTATGACCTTCGAAATGGATGATGATTCACTGATTTTTCCCACGAGTAGTTGGTGATTAAGAGAGGCATTAAGCGCGCGCGAGTCCTTAAACCAAATAACAAATAGATATTCTCTCTAGACGTGGAAAATGCGGTTGTACTTTTTTACAAAAATAAGGTATATAATATTTACACAAAGATCCACATTAGTCTACCGCGTCCCTCAACGGGAACGGTAGCTTCAATCGCTCGAAGCAAGTACCGCCACGCTGGTCACTTGCTCCTTTATCGGGCTGCGTGTCCATTTGTTTCCTACCATTATTAGCTGTTAATTCTGAACAGAATTAGAGGAGATTAAAGGAAGGGGACACCTCACTTGTCCTCTCTATTGGTCCCATATTTTGGGTCCTTGAAGAATTTTTCTTAAAGGACTTAAATTAATTACCACCATACCCCTTGTGTATCTATCAAAGGAAAAAAAAAAATTTAACTTCTCCCACGATACCGACATATCCAACTACCAACTAATGCACGCCCCCCTAAAGTGACGCGGTATCCAATTTTAGCCATAATTCTTCATCCATATCTAACAAAATTAATGATGCACAATGAATAAACGAAAATTTGATCACGTGCGCATACAAGCATAAATGTCTAGTAGTGGCCAATGAACTAGAGAGAGGAGCGAAAACAATGGGGAATGCCGGAGAGAGCAGTGCTCCATTGCTCGGGGGAGAGGGAGAGAACGAGGGAGAAATAGAGGGCAGTTTGGTGAGGGAAGCGGTGGAGGAATCAAAGAAACTGTGGAAGATTGTAGCCCCTGTTGTAGTTTGTAGGGTGTCGTCAGCAGGCATGAATGTTGTTACTCAGGCTTTTGCGGGGCGCCTTGGTGAACTAGAGCTTGCATCCATTTCTATCTCTGTTACTGTCGTTATTGGCTTCAGCTTTGGACTTGTGGTATTATTATTAGTACATATTCATCATTATTCTTTAGGGCTACTCATGGTATTACTACGTATATATTCCTTATTCTTTAGGCTAACTTCACCCACACACGCGCGCCCAGGGTTGTGCACGTAAATCCCTGAACTTTTTGAACTTTTTGACAAATAATGCAATGTCTTTAAGAGAGGAGGGGGGAAAGTCAATCGACTGGGAGAGGGGTATCCAGCTGCCTGTAAATGACCTGCATTGAAAATATTTCTTCTTTATGATGTTTTAGTTATTTGTGGACTACAGATAGAGGGGTCCGATGAGAAAATTCTGAAATAGCTTGAGCAACGCTGCAGGCACTTTTATGAAAAATTATCTAATAATCTTTGCTAATAGATAGATATTCAATGAACCAAGTGAAACAGATACTAATCTTTGCGTATGTTAGTGATTAATTTTCAAATAAATATTATATTTATTAATCCAAGTATGGACGACCAGAAAGAACAATAGTTGAACTCTGATTCAACAATTTCCCTTGTGATCTCCACTAAAGAACTTTTTTTGCCTATTTTTAAGCTAATAGTTGTGGTTTTCAGTTTGGGACTTTACCCTCTTCTCTCTCTCGTCTCTCTCTCTCTCTTCTCGTCTCATCTTCCTCTCAGTAATATAATCTATATATATATTATATATATATAATATATATATATATATATAATATATTACATATATATATATATATATAAAGACTCTATCAACCTTAAATTGATTATTCCACTAAACTTCCTAGGGCCACTCATTATTAATATAAAAAACTTATTCAATACATGTAAGGATCCCTAGGCAATATGAGTGGCTAAATAAGTTTGGTGGACAACTTTTTGCTATTCTTTAGGCTGTGTTTGCAAAAGGGTGTAAATGGAGGGTTAAGGGGTTTTAACCTTCATTAGTCTGGGCGCAACAATAAAAAAAGCCATAGTGTTGTTAACAGCCGCACGTGATCATTTTAACCCGTTTAACCCGTTATCGCAAGGGTTTACTATTACGCGGAGAAGGCGGAACAAGGCTTTATTCCGGCCTTCTCCCGCGAGGGCAAGCAGAGCGAATTAGGAAAAATATCTTATCATCGGATTGCTGTGAGTCGGGCAGTGAAAATAGGTGAAAATGTTTCGCCCACATTTGTTTCCCTCAACTCCTTTCGCGCTCCTATATTTCCCTGCTACTTTTATTCACCTGAGTTTCGCCACTATTAGTAGGTATATTAGGGAACAATCAAGAACAAGAGAGAAATTTTTTACATGTGGGATCTTGTGAGGGTTCGGCAGTGAAAATCAGCAGCGAAATCACGGTGAAAAACTTTCCTCTAAATGTTTCCCTCTACTCATTTCCCTCCAAAATTTCCCTCTAATTTTTTCACGTTCAGATGTTTCTCAACTATTAATAGGTATATTTTAGGGGAACAATCAAGAAGAGAGAAATTTTCTTTTACATAGTGGGGTTTTCTCAGGCGATTGCTAATCTCAATTGACTGGAGGCAAAGGAGTTGAGGTATGTTGATTTTGCTTTACTCTTGGTTTTTAAAAATTTAATAATCTAAGTTTTATACTCTTTCTATTAGGAACTTGATATATGTATCTTTTGAAATTCTCTATTGGGGGAACTTTTGTCACAGATTTTTTTGTTTTGTTAAACCTACATGCATTGTGTACTGCTGTTATTTCGTGCAATTTTAGCATACTTTTTTAGTTCAAAGGTTGTCGTATAAAGCTAGGTTGATTGGGAAGAGACTCTCCAAAAACTAGTTCCTTTACCCAAATTAAATAAAAATTTCAATGTATAAATATGCCAGATCATTCTAATTCTTGGAAACCTGAAACTTTATTGTTAAAGGTGGATTTTTTTAATTTTAATCAAGCATTCTCTGTAATAGTTTTTACTGTCAATTTGTTGAAATAATTTTGATGCCACATAATTTTGGTTCCAAAAACAATTATATGATAAACCATAGCTCCTTAGGAAAATATAGAGAACCAGTAAATATATATAGATAATGGATGTCAAGGGAAGACTTTTTGATAGCAACCTGATTGAAAGTAAGGAGATAAACTATTTCATCTTAAAATTACAAACAGTGGAGCATGGAATAATTTATACTTACATGTTTGACTGTGGATCACAACAAGACTGAGAAATATTCAACTTCATGGCTTGGCAATACAACTACTTGGAAGAATGCATCATCTTCAGTGTATAGAAGTATGATCATATTTATCTTTGTTTTTGCTCCTGCAGATAAGGATAAAAGTTCAAGTATGATTCTTGATATCAGACTAAAAAAAGACCCAAGTATCTTTCTAAGTTTTAAGTTTCAAGTATGTTTAATCTTTGTTTTTCCAGTTACACATATGATTCGAGCTTGTTTAGCTCTCGATTGTTGGGTTTTTTGGTTCGAATTGGTGCTCGTTGTCGAGCTTTGGGGCTGTTTTTCCAGTTACACATATGATTCGAGTTTGTTTAGCTCTCGATTGTTGGGTTTTTTGGATTGAATTGGTGCTCGTTGTCGAACTTTTGATCATTTTTTTTCTTTATGTTAACTTTTCTTTATGTCAAAAAATTAGCCCAACTTTTCAAAAAGTTTAGGAGAAACCGTTTGTATCTTTTGCTTTTGCTTTTCAAAAAAGTTCAGGAAAAATATATATCCAACAGAAATTTTGAGGTAAATTAACTGTTTTGATTGAATTATTTGGATGCTATGAACTTTTGTCATACTTTTCATACTTTTGAGCTTGCTTTCCTATAACAGGAGTTCTGTTACACTACTTAACAACAGGTTAAGTGGTTTAAACCGATCATCATCATTATGTTATCTATAATGATTTTCTTAGGAAAAATCCATTGTATTACTGTTATTGTGGTGTCATACATTTGTATTAGCATTTTGTATCTTTTAATTTCTTTTACTGTAGATCTATAATCTAACTGTAATGCCAATGGGCATGATGCATTTGCTTTGGTGGTTTAGTACTGTTCACTTGATTTTTCTTATTTTCTTTTCATTGGCTAAAAGCAGTTTACTATAATTTGCTTTGGTGGTTTAGTACTGTTTTATTATGCATTCAGGAGTTCCAATTTGTTTGTCAGCTCACTTGGAAGATGACCCATGTGTTGCATTCAGGAGATTATCGATGTTTGTCAGCTCGCTTTACTTTGGGCTTCCTGTTCTATGTTCGGAAGTTTGGAACACAGCTCATTTCTGCAGCAGGGGCATACTAGTTAAGGTGCTCACCTATGTTTCTGTTTCTGTTTTGTGGTTTCGGTTGCTCCTCTACTCTAGTTTTCTGGTTTTCGTTCTTGGCTTTCGGTTGCTCCGCTCTTGCATACTCAGCTTGGGAACCTGCTGGTAGTTTTCAGATTCATCTAAGGGCCTTGGTTCATGGGTTTTGGTTCGGTTTCTGCTGGGTGTTTTGAGAGGGTGTTTTGAGTTTCAGGAGCTATTACAAATGTACAACAGTTGCCTTTTGCCCACATTATCCCATTGGCTATCAACAGTTGCCTTTTGCCCACATTATCCCATTGGCTCCCCAGGTTTATGTATGGTAGAATTGAGGCCAGTCACCACCTACAGCAGTGATGCCCTTTTCCTCAACCAAATGACTCCTGTTTCGGGTATGTTAAGTTCAATTTTGTAGTGTTTGCTTTGGAAATTTTCTCGCTTTGTTTTGTTTTTACTCTCAGGCGGGATCTCTGCTGGAATTGGCTGTGGGTTTGGCTTTCTATATTGCTGGGAATGGAGTGTTTTGCTCATTGTTTTAGTGATAAAATTTGCTATGGGATTAGCTTGTTATATTGCTGGGAATGGAGAATTTTGCACATTGTAATATTGCTGGAATTTGTTGGGCATTTGGGATGTGCTTATTTTATGTGATCATAGGATGCCCAGGAAGTTGAGAGGAAATTTTATGAGATGGCTATATGACACCACAAGCCTTTTAATGGGATTGTTTGGTATATGTGATTTGGGATGTCTAATAAATCTGTGTATCGAAACTGAGAATGACATGGATAAGTGGCAATCCAGAAAAATCAACATATTTTTTGGGACTCTATTTGGTGCATGCGGACAGAGCACAATGCATAAGATACAGCTCAATGTCTCTCCTTGTTCTCCCGACTCATTCTATCTTTTCTTTTTATCTGTATTCTATTTTTGCATACACTCACAGGTCTAGATTAATTTCTGATTTGACCTATGTATAAAGAATTTCAAATATTAAGTTTTTTCATTATCTGAAAAGTATCAGATCAGAGTCTGAACAGAAAAAATTTCATCCAAAACTCTTCCTCAAAGGGTGCTAGTTTAACTAAATGATATGATTACTCTTATTATAGCCATGCGTTTCATAAAAACATCAACAATTTTATCGTTTGTTTACTTTCTGAAGTTTTACTGACTGTGACATGCAATGCTGAGGGATTATTTTTTTTAATTTTATTTTGGAGGTCCTTTCAGATTGGAAAATAATGGATCTTTGAATATTGTTGTATTATAAATCTTCAATAAGGGCGAAAGTGGTATTTTTTAAAAAAAATCATGAGATTAATCTCCTTAACCCCTCTTCATTTGCCAAACACAAAAGACTTAACCTCTTGTCTTAACTATCGTATCCAAACGGGTTTAGAATTTTTTAACCCTTCATGATGGATTAACTAAGTTAACCCTTCTCTTTAATCCCTTCTCCTTAACCCTTTGCCAAACGGGGCCTTAAGTTGACACAATTTTTGCTATATATATGTGTGTGTGTGTGTTATTTTTGCTTAAAACTTTCCTTCAAATGGAAAAAGATTTTACTCGCAATATCCTATCGCTTTTTTTAGTATATTGTTTTGTAGCATTTTTTGGGTAAATTTCACACACACTCGCACGCACAAAAAATAAAAGAAAAGAAAACCCCTTCAGTTTGAATAATATTGAGATGATTGTTAGATAACCTGCTATCAATATCCAACTTAACCTTAGGGATTATTAGAAACCCATTTTAGATTTAAAATTTTATCAGAAACCCTTTCTAACAACGCTAACCGTAATTTTCTCATGAGTGGATAAATTACCCACGGGATATTTTTTTTCCAATGAAAATTTGGTTCATTCTTTTAGAGGGATTTTCGAAAATATCTTAATTAAAGTTAAAGAAGTTTTCCGATAACCCCTAAACTTAAAGTGGATTTTCTAATATTTTGAAAATTATGGAGGGTTAATTATTTGATAATTGTTTGAAGTTACTCATTTTATATTTGATAACTGTTTGAAAGTTATCTATTTTTATATTTTTATCTTTTATTTATCTCTTCACTGTCGCGCGCCTATGCGGAAGCGTGCTCGCTCACCAAATAAGTCGTAAGCACGGGAGAAGAATAACCAATCACACACGAGCACAATCCAAAACTGAAATACAACAGATCAATCACAAACACAAAGATATACGTGGTTCAGCAATTTGCTTACGTCCACGGGGAGAGGATGGGGAGATTCCACTAAATCAAGGAGAATACAAATTGTTACAATCTCACAAAACTCACAAACTAACCCTCAACCAAAGCTCTCAACTTGCTCACAATATCTTCCTCTCACAATGCTCGAAAGTCTCTCTAATCTCTGATTACAACTCTTCTCTTTTTTGATGATCATAATCTCTTCTAAGGCGTTCCATATATATAGAAAACCTAAAACCAAAACAGACTAGGAATTCTAAAACAAAAAACAAAACAAATTAAGAATCCTAATAACATGTTACCAAAACAGATTAAGAATCATGTTACCAAAATAGATTAGTAATCCTAATAACCTGTTACCAAAACAGATTAGGAACATGCTATCCAACATTCACTTTATAAGATTAGGAACATGCTATCCAACATTCACTTTATAAATTCCTTTCATCTTGCTGTGGTTGGAAAAAAATAGAAATTCCTATGAAACAAGGGATAGTAACAATTCTTTTCTATGGAAAAAAGCAAATTGTTATGTTTTCCGATTATTCATACCTTACTTTCAACTTCATTTAACCATAGTAATATCAAGTTCTTTTCTTAATTATTATTTTTATGAAAATACTAGCTCGGCATGGCAAGTGCTTTAGAGACATTATGTGGTCAGGCCTACGGCGCAAAGAAATACCACATGTTAGGAATTTACCTCCAAAGATCATGGATCATCCTCTTCTTCTGCACTCTCCTCTCAATCCCATTCTACATCTACACTACTCCAATCCTCGAACTTATCGGTCAACCTCCAGATATCGCTCGCCAAGCCGGTCAACTCTCACTCTGGTTCATCCCTTTACAGTTCTCGTTCGTGCTATTATTACCACAGCAGAAGTTTCTTCAAAGCCAACACAAGAACTTGGTCAGTGCTGTGATTTCCGCGGCCGCGTTTTTGCTCCATGTTTTGATCAGTTGGATTTTGATGCACAAATTGAGGCTCGGGCTTGTTGCTGCTGCGCTGAGCCTGAACTTCTCGTGGTGGATAACTGCGGTGGCTCAGTTTGCGTACATCGTTTACGGTTGTCCGCTCACCTGGAATGGATTTTCGATCGACGCTTTCTCGGGACTTTGGAAGTTCTTCAAGTTATCGCTGGCATCGGGCGTTATGTTATGGTATTCGTCGTGTTCGCACCTGTTGTTTTACTCTTTCAGGTACCGTTTGGCAAAGGGTTAAGTGAGGGGTTAAGGAGACTTAACCCCTTCTTAACCTGTCAAACACAACAAATCTATATAAGGGTTAAAGTGAGTTAACCCTCTATAATTTGCCAAATATAAAAAATATAGCAGGGTTAAGTTAACCCCTCTAGAGGGGTTAAAATGAGTTAACCCCTCAAAATGAGGGGTTTACTAATACTCCTATTTAGATGGAATAAGAGTTAACCCTTCTAATTATAAAGAAAATAGTCAAAATCATTGTTATTCCCAAACACTAAAACCGATCATAAGGGCTAAAATAAAACTTATTTAACGGGTTAATAATTTAGTCCTTCGGATTATCAAATGGGCTAAGTATATTAATCCTTCTATTTAACCTCTCTTCATTAACCCTTTGCCAAACGGGGACTCAGGCTTTTAAAAGCCCTGTCGATCGGCTACATCGAAACTCTAAATTTATACTGGTCACTAAATTTTTTTTGTTTGGGTTAATTGCAGTTAAACTTCCTACGCTTTCAATCAGTTGAATAACATCCTGTAGTTTTGTTGTCGCAGATGGACTCTTTGAGAGGAAACCTTTCGGCTCTTGTGCCCTCAGAAGATCTATTAATTTACCCAAAAAGTAAATTTCTCTTCCTATGAGGGTGGAAGAGTCCGAAAAATTCACTTCGGGGTCTATTTGCAACAATAGAACCAGAGGGGTTTATCTGTAGTAAACATTTAATTTTATACTCTAAAACGCTTATTTGTTGCTGGCAGCCTATTTCATGAACCAAAACCTTTTTTTTTTTTTTGTGTAAACAGCGGTGTACTTTCCAAATCTACTATCATGATTTACTCTAATCTCATAAAAAAAAACTTTTTTCGTTAACATTACTAAAACTCTGAAGTTATACTGAGAATAATAGTTTTGTACTCGATCCCCTCTTTTTTTTTTTACTTATAATAATCGATTTGAATAAAGAATTTTATATGTTATTATGTTTTACTCGCCAACAACAGCTTGGAGTACTGGTATTATAGAGCATTGATCTTATTGGCGGGTAATCTAAAGAACGTCAAAACTGCAGTCGATGCCCTATCCATTTGGTGCGCTCTTTTCCTTTTGGTTTAATTAAAAATCCAATGGTGTTTTGAACTTTGCATTATCAACTATTAACCTGTGACTGCTTTGATCAGCATGAACATAAATAGCTGGGAAGTGATGATCCCAGTAGCATTTTTAGCTGGAATTGGGTAAGTCCGAGGTAACTCTATTTTTAATTGATTTTTGTTTTCTATTTTAAAATTGGGCGATAATATCCGCAATTAACCCTTAAAATTTTAGTAGTCAATCTTATTATTATTATTATTATTGACTGATCTATTGTCGTACATACATACAGAGTTCGAGTATCAAATGAACTTGGTTCAGGGAATGGAAAGGGTGCCAAGTTTGCGACAATTGTGGCCGTGCTAAACTCGTCCTTAATTGGGATTTTCTTTTGTTGTTTGATGTTGGTATTCCACGATAAATATGGCTTATTTTTCACAAGCAGTGAAATTGTGCTCAGTTTGGCTGACAAACTCTCAGTTTTATTAGCATTTACCAACCTCCTCAATAGTATCCAACCAGTACTCTCCGGTGAGAACGAAACTACATATTATAGTAATATCAAGAGTTTTTTTTCCCTTTTCAATATTAGCCATTAGATTTTTCATAATTTAAAACTATATAGTCCCTCAAATCATCGAAACTGCTATTAGGTCCTCCAATTCTCATAAGTTGTTAATAACTACCTCAAACCTCAACTCTAATATTTACTTATGAGAACTGAGGCCTAATATCAAGGATCAAAGAGACTAACGTCGAAAAGGCTAATATCAAATGTATCAATGCTAATGTTGATACGTATGATTAATGTGGACGGTTGCTTGCAGGAGTTGCGATTGGTTCGGGATGGCAAGCGACCGTGGCTTATGTAAATGTCGGAAGTTATTATCTCGTCGGTGCCCCTGTTGGGATTTTTCTTGGATGGATCATGAAGCTTGAGGTTCTGGTACGTACGTTGTTCTAACTTAATTTCGAAATTTAGAAAATCTGAACTATACATGCAAATGAATAGCAATAAGGGGCCTAAAAATTAATTAATTAACTAATTAATTTATCAGGCAAACATTACTGATCCAACCCTCAAATTTAGACTTTGTGGGTTTTTTAAATTTTAGACATCGGACTTCATTTTGTACTTGGCTCGAAATTGGGGGGGTAAATTTGTAATCGAGCTCAACTGCAAGTTAATGAGCTTTAAACAAAGCCTGCAGTAAAACTAAACTAACTCAAAAAAAGATAATAAAAATAATAATGTAGCCATTGACCTCAGCTCTGGATGAATTCAACATACTTCACTTTCTTAATCTTTAAGATGAGACCATACTTATATATGAAACTGTCATAAGTCGGGTTAAATTAACTTCTACACTCTTTGAAAATGTGTCATTGGCTTCATAGTTTTATACTGTTACTCCAATACTTATAGTCTTAAATATTCTAATATAAAGCAACAGCATGTTCAATAATTGAAAACATTATTCTTAACTAAAAACCAATTTGTTTGAACTAGGGTCTTTGGACTGGGTTGATCGGAGGAACTCTTGTACAAACGCTGATCTTAGCCTTTTTCACTGCAAGATGTAATTGGGACAATGAAGTAATATTAAACCTCGGTCTATTTTGTCATTCCATTTTCCTATTTTAATCTATGATTAGTTGTAAATAATTTCGTCATTTACCTTTCTTGTAGGCACTAAAAGCCAGTGCTAGAGTCACGAAGTGGGATGTCCCAGAGTTAAGCAAGCAGGGAAGCTAACAAAGTGGAATTTTTATTTTATTTTTGAGGAATTTTAATGTGGTGTATAGTCCCAGATATTTGATTTGAAATTGTTCTTTTCTAGTTAGTGTGGTTCGCACTTTAAAGGCAAGTTGCTTGGCTTTTGATGGCATCGGATTGTTACGAGATGCAACGTATCAGTTATGTTTGAATCGACAAATATATGTTATTGCGTTTCGATGGCGATTCAATCGCTATCTTGAAGGAATTGTGAGGAATTAAACCGACGTTACTTCATCTTTCAATGCAATATATTAGGGTAAATTTCATAAAACCGCCGTCAAATTTCGACCGGTTTTGAGAGAATCATTCTAAGCTTTAAAATTTATGAGTTAAACTCCCTTAAGCTTCTTGATGTTTTAAGAAAACCCCCGAAGTTTTTTTTTCTTTTTCGGTAGACTCTTAGTGGATCTTTGCTACATGTACCCAAAATATGGGACTAACATGGAGGACATGTGATGTGTCGCCCTCCTATTTCATAATGAGCTGTCTCCCCCGTTGATCCCATATTTTAGATCATTCGGAATTTCCCCCCTTAATGGTATGAGATAAAACTCATGAATGATTGAAATATCTTTATCAAATGAACATTCTAATTGTTAAATTTAATTATTTCAAATAGAGCTCATTAAAATAAGGTCATGTAAGTACCCGTTAAATTTAGGCTATTTAGCCCATAAAATTGCCGTCCAAAAAGCCGACGTACTTTTCCTAGCAATAAGATAGGCCACACGAATGCCAGTTCGAAGCCCACATAAAATCCACCTGTGACTACCTTTTTCAGAAGTCCCCAACATGTATAATGTCCGTCCGATCGAAGCCCAAATTTATACGTAGTAAGTCCACAAATACCCGTCCAGTTATTGAACATGTCACCGTTGCAGTAAATTTTCCTTAAAAAAGTATATTTTGACAGTTTTAACCTACATTGGTTTAATTTTGTTGGTCTTTGGATATCATAGTTGCACTAGCTTTACCGCATATACTAATGCATCATAGTTAAGTTTTGATGAACTTTAGGTATAAAAAATTAAAATTTCTTAAAACCCAGGGTATTATAATTGAACTTTGTTGAACGTTAGGATATCAGAATTAAATTTTGTTGAGATCGAGGGTGTTTAATGGGTAAAAACAGATTTGGGGTATCAAAGCGGAAAATTAAAGTGACTTCGTTATGTTTTTGGACAGCAAATTAACTTTAGACTATAGAAGGCAGAAAGTATAATAGTTTGGTATGTTTAACTTTAAATTAATCGGAAAATTGTACGGAGGAGGTTTTTATTGATTAGAAGTAGTCGAGGTTAATGGAGCGTCCATATGCAATTTGAACTACTTAATCACTTTTTAATTGCACGATGTGGGACTAAAAAGATAAAGCCACGTCCCCACTATGTAATACACCATAGCATTCATTCTATAACTCACGCAAATTAAATTTCGCTGGAATGCGTCAACTCCATCTCCGTCACCGTCACCCTCACCCGCGGCGACTTCCTCCTCCACTCTGACGCCAACTCCGATGTCTCCGGCAACCTCTGCATCTCTGGCGAAACTAAATTTCGAGCGGTGATGAAATTTGTTTCTTTTTTCTCATCATTGTTTTCTCTATAATAATCAGTATTAGAAAATATGTGCAATTTTCTACAAAGGACTTGGTGGATCTTTGTTGTTGCACAATCAAATTCCCACTTAAAAGTTGAAATAGAACGCTCATTCGTTATGTTAAAGTTTGTTCTTTACGCATCAAGTTATTGAACAATACGGACATCAATAAATGAGCCAATTTTATAAACTCTGGTCCTTAACTCTCCCAATTTTACAAACTTCTTTGTTATATGGTAATAAATTTGGATCCATTTTACTCACATCGATTTCGCAGTAAATAAATTCAGATTCGTCTCTAGGTCATGCTTCTGATTTATTATCCATGAAAAATCTTAATGATACCTAAAATGATTTTTTTTTTTGCTCTGTTCAATCATGTACCAAAAGCGAGAAAACTCCCAATCTAGAAATCATGGTATGATTGTGACCTTTCAACAACCAGTTATGACTAACGAAAATAAATACTTACAAAATGCCTCTTAGATATGCATGTGTATATGTAGGGACCATAACATAAAACGCAACCGAAATTGCATAGTAGATTAATCAAAATCAATTAAAATCTAGAAGAATACATGAAACGCTTTTCGAATTTCTTCGATAATTTGTCCCAAGATCAATAAGAAATACCTTCCTCAAGAGAAAAAACCTCCAACTGAAATCCACCCGTTACCGAAGAGGAGCAATACTGAGAGATAGGTTATCAAAATCTTTTTTCTTTTTTTCTTTTTTTTCCCCTTCTTCTTCATAAGGCTACATATGAATCTTATATATAGGATTGGACATGCTTTATAGATTCCAATTTCAAAATAATTCTTAATTGTTTAAAACTCTATCCATAACATTTAAAGATAGAATGTTCTTCCCATAACAATTAGCATAGAAATAGAATTGTATTGCTGTAGGCGTCAAAAAATGCTGATGGATATCCAAATACAGCTTAAAAGGAGATCATCCAAAGATCAAAAGAACATAAGAAACAAGTGTTTGCTGTCTCGGGCGCCAGACAGTGTTTTACTGTATCGCCAGACAGTCTTTTACTATTTCGAGAGACAGTGTTTTACTGTTTGGAGAGACAGTCTTTTACTGTTCGGAGAGACAGTCTTTTACTGTTCGGAGAGACAGTCTTTTACTGTTCGGAGAGACAGTCTTTTACTGTTCCGCGAGACAGTCTTTTACTGTTTCGCGAGACAGGAGTTCAGAAACCGCCTAAACAAGTGGTCATTCACTGTTAAAGAACGTGGGAGACAGTTACAAACTAAAAAAAATGCCCACTAACCTCATAAAAAGATGGTATTTAAGGATTTGGACAGCGGTTACAAAGGGGGGGCTGATTAGAGAGCATTTGAGGGCATTCTTCTAAAAAAGAGAGAGGGTCTTCATCAAAGGATCGAGCATTTGTTAGAGCATTCTAGAGCAGAGAGAGAGCAGATTTGAGTTCTTTTCTTGCAACGCCTTGAAATTAAGCTTCGACTTGATTTTAAGAAGAACGACTATCTTACATCGATAAGATATCGTTTCAATTCTCACTTCGATAAACGAGGTCAGAATCATAAGCCCCCTTCACGATCTGTGAATCGGCGGTCCACGAACCAAAGCGTTCCCGGAACAGGCAAAGTCCCACGAAAACGAGAATTGATAGACGATTTTCGTGTTTGTTTCTCAAGAGTTGTAATTTTTGTTTTGTTGTGTAGAAAAAGTCTTATAAAAAGATTATTCTTTCGAATTTGTTGTAATCGAACAAAGTTATAATGAATTCCACAGCAGCGACTTTTGAACCAAACAAGCTGGCGACCACAGTGGGAGGCAACGGTCTCGCTGCCGAGACCGTCGTGTCGTAACCAATCATCGAGATCCCGGTTGAATCAACGGTCGAGTACGAATTCGACCAAGCGAAGTTTGAGGAGTATTTGTCATCCTTATCCTCAAAGTCTTCCTCGCCTCACAAATGCAGGAAGATTTTATCTTCTAAGAAGGTTTGCAAGTTTTCGACTCCGTCGAACGCTACAGATGAAGACTCTCGCTTGATTGTTGCTGAGGATTCCACTCGCAACCTCTCTGCTCATAATGAGTCTTCTTCAATTAAGGAGTCATTAAATTAAAGCCCGCCGGCACTGACGAAAAGAACTCGTCAGAGACGACGCCAACGTCGCGCTCGTCAATTGGCTAAGGCATTGGAACAAACCGACGGGGTTCGTTATCATGCGGACTTAGAGTCGAGGAGACATCGAGTGGTTCAGTTGTCTCAACAACCAATCACTCATATCTCTGCCAAACTCACGACGGAGGAATGGACTATTGTCAAAAGGACTCGTTCGACCCTCAAAGAACGCATACAAAAACATCGTGCAAACGCTGCTCTTGCCCGTGCTCTCTCACAACAAAGACGAGAAAGGGAGAAGGAAACGGTGACCAAAGAACCACCGAAACTCTGCCAAGTTTGGATTCCAAAGTCTGGACTTATGCAAAATCAGCATTCAGAGCCCGTTAAGACTCCATACCCACAAGGGGGTGGTTCTAAACGTGCGACTCCCGACATAACCTTGGATCGTTCAAAGGCAACAATAAATTGTCCTGAGAATGCCAACAAGGTTTTACACCCCCAGAAGAAGACGCATTCACCAAATGATATCGTCATACCTGGGAGGTCATGCCAACAGACGATACGATTTTTTGGCGACGACATTGACGAAAAGAGCTCGTCAGAGACAGCGTCAGCGTCGTGCTCGTCAAATAGCTAAGGCATTTGAACAAACCGACGGAGTTCGTTATTATGCGGATTTAGAGTCGAGGAAACAACAAGTGGTTCGTTCAACGCAACGACGAACTACTCACGTTTCTGCACAATTCACAACGGAGGAATGGACACTCGTCAAAAGGGCTCGTTCGACCCTCCAAGAACGTATACAAAAACGTCGTGCAAACGTTGTTCATGCCCGTGCTCTCTTACAACAAAGACGAGAAAGGGAGAAGGAAACGGTGACCAAAGAACCACCGAAATTCTGCCAAGTTTGGATTCCAAAAACTGGAGTTGTGCAAAATCAGCATTCGGAGCCCGTTAAGACTCCATACCCACAAGGGGGTGGTTCTAAACGTGCGACTCCCGACATAACCTTGGATCGTTCAAAGGCAACAATAAATTGTCCTGAGAATGCCAACAAGGTTTTACACCCTCAGAAGAAGACGCATTCACCAAAAGACATCGTCATACCTGGGAGGTCATGCCAACAAACGATACGATTTTTTGGCAATCATACCGATGAATCGTATTATCAAGTTGGGGGTGTGAATAAATTTCGAAAAAGAATTATTCGCTCTCATTGTTCCTGTGCACGACTTATAAGATCAGCTGTCCAAGATGATGAATTCCCTGAAGTCACCATCAACGTGACTGATAAAAGAAAGTCTAAGCGGCATTCAAGTGACTAAAATCCTGACTTTTCCCCAAGAAGAAGAGTCAATCCAAGAATTGCTCAAAGGATGTCTCGACTCCAATTAGGAGCCATCAGACGCAGAAATTAGCCAGAGAGCGTCAATTGCTGGGATGACATGGAAAGTTTGTTCCTCAGCAACTTCTTCGATGATGACACAGAAGTGTCAATC